CAGCTTCATATCTCTCCGATCTTCATTTCCGGCCTCGAGTAGAGCTGATGATGCTCTGTGGGAAGACAGTGAATGGGACGCCTGTTTGCGGGAATCTCGCTTTGTGGACCTTCGATTTCAGTTGGACGAATTCTATTTTACTAGCTTTTGTTTTAAAAAATCGCTCTCCTTGATATTCTTTTTGCATGAATAACTTGAAGGCACCATTGGGGGATTTTAGAAACTATGTTGATACCTTGGTAAAGGAAATTTATTTTGATAAGAAAACAAAATACACAACGTTAGATTAGACTTATAAGTGGTCAGAATAGCTTTACAAAAATAATATTGAAGATAATGCATAAGCATTGTTCTTTTCGAGTGAAATGCATTAATTCGTTATATTTTGTTTAGACGCTAATGTGTGTCGTAATTACACATCATTCACAAACCATTCCAAATAGAAATAGATTTTGATAAGGAAGACGTAAATATTCTTGTTCAGGTTATCACTCAAAAGGTTGTATACTGCAAGGTCTCTTGAGGAAATTGGCGTGCTCACGAATCCATTTATTGGCCACTGGAAGAGACAATAGGACCGTAAATGAGTAAAGACGAAACTTAATGATCCAAAATTCCTCATGTATAATCCAGTCTCAGTTGTCACACTTTTCGTTAAACCAGTTTCGCTCAAAGTGTCTTTTCGTGACATCTGGATAATGTTTATGCTCAATACTGCCTGCACGACAAGCTGTTACACTAAAAAGAATAATATCGTTTTCTCGGCGCCATTAGCTATATTATATACATTATGAAATGCTTTAAAAAACAACCAAGTATAATAAAAGTTATTCAACTCATAGTGAAAATTTCCCGTAAAATAAACATCAAAATATCTGCATAAGATAATCAGACAAGTGTCTTCCTAATTATCGGAGTCATCACCAGCAAATTGCGCCAGTAAAGCGATTTTCTAGCTGAAAACTTAAAGAAAAACAAAACTTTATTCTCTCTCTTGTCGCCCTTTTGCGTCGGTACAGCATGAGCGGAATCACGTCCTGCAACAACTAAGTGTTATCACATCCAACGAAACCACCAGCTGTGATATCAGCAATAACTGACTGTTGTATCCGTCTTAACCCTAAACTGCTTTTACTTGAGCGGTGCAGCCACAGTTCCTCTTAATAGGTATTCCAATATGGTATCTATCTTTATCGTAACTGACATCTCAAATTTCGATTACATGAATAATGCATCGAAAGCTGCATTCTCTCTTGAAAGCTCTAATTCTAGAAGGCCTTTACCCACCCCATTTGTGGCCAAGCAACACAGGGCATCCCCCATGTTCAGCCCTTGGGTTGACGTCGCCGTTCTTCTTGAGGTTAAACCACATAACAGCTGCGCCCTTAACAGGAGGAACGGAGATGCCGGCCTTTGGGAAGGCCGTTCTGCCGCCTCTCTCCACATCTGACAGCTGCACATATCGGTAAGAAATTAAGTCTATTACTGTATATTGGAAATATAGATGGCCACTTGCATATTATTTCCAAAGCACAGCGTGGTGTATTGGTAGCAGGCAAAATAGAAACCATTTCTAATCGCCAACAATAGTTACATAGAACATCCAAGTTGCCATTCGGTCACCATCCTGGATCACATGAGCGCCAGCAGTGGTCTCGTGCCACTATCGGGGAAAATGAAAATAAATATAGTAAAACTGGGTCATTTTCTGATTATAAGGAATGAATTAGTGCGTATCACACGTCACAATCGCCGAGTAAAATAGATATCAAGGTCGCACCGTCCGGTGATAAGACTTTAAATGTGATTATAATAATCTACGTTTGTTATTTCATGAAGCACCAATCGATATTTGATATCACTCTTACTGAATTATACAACTGCTTAACTGCGTGATATGTGCTGCTATATGTACACCTACAAATATTCTAATCATTATAACTAAAATCAGTGAATATAATTCACTTCATTAATGTCATGATAAAGAGCATCTTAGCTTTTTGCTAATTACGGTATATATAGTCATCGTCGTTTACTTTCCTTGGCCTTGTTATTCCTGAATTAACTCAAAACATAATTGGTTAAATGATATATTAGTAAATACGAGAGCCATTCCGTTCCTCATGGTCTGACCAAATGCTTTTATCAAGCCACAGAAAGAGTATGAGAAAAAATAAGGACGCGAGTCGGATATTGGAGATGACGATCAAACTCTATAGCCATTATTCAGAGGAGGGATACAGGTTTACCTCCTTAATGAAAGAATTCATTAACGTATATAATATGGGTATCAGCAGCTCACACAATTTATTTACACACTTGTGTATGTTACTTTGTATATCTGCTGTATATAAAGACAAGACAATTATGATAATAACGAAGTGCATTATGTGCCTTTTTCAAACACCTTCAAAAATCCTGGTGCGGCCTTTTCTGCATCCATATAATCGTCTATGAACGAAGTGAATACTGTACTAACCTGATCTTCAGGTAAGTTCTT